AGGACTGGAGGAGTTCTCGTGCTCTAGGGATGATAGTTGCTTATAATTCCAAAGGAGAGTATTCATATGCTACCACTAATAAATATTTTAAATCTATCATAATGATCATCATCATTTCTAAAGAGTTTTCTCGTCCCTCTGATTCTGTAGGTTGTCTTAAATTACCAGTTGAACACTGAATCATTGGCCGTCTCCAGTGCTAGGTCCTGTGCAAGGCAACCTGAAAACACAGTTCTGATCCTTGTAGGTTATTATCATTATAGAATAATGTCATAGAATTTATGTAGTGTATATACACACAAAGTATATATTTATTTGTTTGTTTGTTTGTTTGCAGTATTTCACTATGCCCTTTAATTTCTTATATAAACCAAAATCAAGGATGGAAGGAAGAAAAGAAGGGAGAGAGGGTGGGGAGAAGGAGCCCAGTATTTCCTATCATTAAAATTTTATAGATGTCTGTAATGGAAAAAATGTTTATTTTGAAATTATTTTAATTTAGAAATAGAAAACGTCTTAGAAGAAAAAAATTAGAGAAAAACAAAATAGGCAAACTTTTACTTCATGAGCTTCTCAAATCCTCACTTATCCACCAATCCCCTAGACGAGAAACCCTCCTCTAACATGGTATTCAGCCACCAACAACGATGTTATTAATAGGGATATGGATTGATTTCACAAAAAGCCAATAAATCCCATTATAGCAAATCCTATTGCTGCTGCCATGGCAATCTTATGGATTCTTTTCTATCAGATTTGGTGCATCTTTTAACCAGCCAAATTGATTCCTTCACAAACTGCTGACTTGACTCAACAAACTGCATTACCTGATCCATGATGCTGCCCACCGACACATGAAGTGCCAGGGACACATGCCTATCTAGGTTTTTTTTTTTAACTAATACCTCTGTTATTTGTTAACTCTGTTATTTGTTAACCACCTTTCCAGTATGAACTACACAGAGTTTTACACTATTCATCTGTATTTGTTTGCTTAACAGCTCAAATTTTAGCCACTAGTTATTTTGAATGTGGTTAAAAAAAAGCTACCATATGTCTGATTATCGTATTCAGGTTGATCTATCACCAAAGCTTCCCATTAAGCTACAGTGATGCCCCATCATCCAAACTTCTTCAAAATAACTTGTATTATAGAAATCATGTTTCTAGAAAGAACATGGATTAAACCTTCTTGGAGATTTTATATGAAATGATTAAAAACTTCTAGTGCCAAATACCTTTACACTTTTTTTGTCTGTCTCTTGTTTTGTTTTTGTTGTTTTGTTTTTAACAGCTTCATCACTGGTCCGGCTGTAGTCCCAGGGTACTTCTCCGTTGATGTGAATAATGTAGTACTTATTTTAAATGGAAGAGAAAAAGCAAAGATCTTTTATGCCACCCAGTGGTTACTTTACGCACAAAATTTAATACAAACTCAAAAGCTCCAGCATCTTGCTGTTGTTTTGCTTGGAAATGAACATTGTAATAATGATTGGATAAACCAATTCCTCAAAAGAAATGGAGGGTTTGTGGAGCTGCTTTTCATAATATATGATAGCCCCTGGATTAACAACATGGACGTTTTTCAATGGCCTTTAGGAGTAGCAACGTAAGTACAAAATATTATACACATTTTTAGACTCTAAGACCTAAATTTCAGAATCAGGAAGATTGTATTTTAAATCTGCAGTAAATGTAGTTCTTTTGAGATCATTGAGACTACATACAGTCTTTCCCATGGGCAAAAATATGGTTGGTCTCATGCTTAAGTAACAGTAATGATGTTTTTAGAGTTTTTAACCTTTTATTAGGAGAGCAGATGAATTACTTTTTTTGTCTTTTAAAACCCCA